TCGTCATTAAACTGAATATTTATTGCTTTCCAAAGGGCTTCATATCGTGTTACAATAAATAGAATTGGACTGATAGATAATGATGTTTGTTTCATCTTTTGTAAAAATGTAAGTGATATTTGCGCCAAAATATTTTATATCATACAGATACCCCTGCGTAATCTTTATTTTTTTCTAACTTTATACATAATATTTATGATAATTACTAAATATTTTTTGCTTCTTATTACAATTATAAAATATTATTTTTCGAAAACGTTTCGAAGTTTGAAAATACTATAGAAGCATCACATTGTTTTAAATAACAATACTCAACAATTATAGTAACTTATTATTTATCTCGACAAAGTATCCGATTTTAAATTTGTGTAGAATTTTTTTTTTTAAATATTGAATATTATGCTAATTTAACACATCGGATACGAACAATACAGTTTATTATAATAATGTAATATGATCTTTTATGAGTTTTTGGTATTTATTACTCATAAGTTTGTTTTTGGTGAAAAGTACTCAATATACTCGATAGTGATAATGAATTAATTAAATTGGATATAATTTTGTTAAGTTATTATTTAAAAAAATAAACTTATTGTTTTATTTTATTGTTTTTATTGTTTAGTTGAATATAGTTGTAGTTGTATATACAATTTTTTTATATTTGTACTAGTAACTTTCAATTTTGTTTACGTTTGTTTTGTACGGTTTACGTACGGTTTTAAAATGAAAAGTTACCGAAATACCGGTATTGAAATTTTTCATCGGTATTGCATTCCCTATTGAAAACCGACAAACCCTATAAGTAACTGACATACAACCACAAAATTCACAATTTCACCCAAATATTTATTACCCCTAGGTTTTTCGAAAACTCATGTCGCGAAGACATAGTAGATCGTCCCTGCCGATTCGTGCACACAAAACTATCTCTCCAATCTCGTTGCGTTCAGAAGTACATCTGGGTTTACGCAATTGTGCAGAATTTTCATCCCATCAGAGACGTTGTGGCCCGTAAAAGACTAGACAGGGCCCTTGCCAGATCCGGACTCAACGTAGAAGAGTACAAGAAGCACCAGTTTCACAATTTGCCAGGCCCTAACGACGGATCTGGCTGGAGATTGGATTATATAAAAGTGAGGAGTGGCTGTAGTTGCCAAGTTTCTGCCAAGGAGAGGAGGAGAGATAATGGTAATGGTAATGGTAATGGTAATGGTCACCATCCACCGAGAAGGAGTCAGCATCATAGAGGGTATAATAATAAAAAATAGCGGAGTAGACTGTGGTAGTCATGAAGGTTTTTTGTTCAAAAAAATGATGATGATTCTGGTTAGGTTGGTGAGTGGTTGGTGTATGTCAACAATTTTAAACGTTTTATTAATGTCCCATTTTGTAAAATAATTACTTACTGGGCAATTCTGCCGTAACAGAGTTCATAATAATGTCATATCAACGCTCTCTTATGCTAGTTCTTGGTAGTGAATATTAAGAAAATGTCTATCTATTTCAGACATATGTTCAGTTACATATGAACAACACAATTTTTGATAATGCAGTTATCATAAGATTCTTGCTTGTTTATATGTAAAATACGCCTGATCGCATGGCAAATCAAACCACAGTGGACTGTGGTAGTCATAAAAAAATTTGTAAAAAAAAATGATGGTTCTGGTTAGATTGACTAGTGGTTCGTGTATGTCAACAATTTTAGACGTGTCATTTTGTTAAATAATTACTTATGAGGCAATTCTTGTCATAGCAACTTTTCTATCTAAATTTCAAGATATTACTGTTCTTTTTTTGTTACAAAAATGCAAGATATTTGTTTTTGTTTTTCTCGAAATGTATTTATCATAGAGACATGCGGTTTTTTTTAAACAAAAATTACAAAGTCATAGAATATTACGTGATTTTCTTCTTTTTTTTGCGCCGTCATTTTTTAACCAGGGAACGCCAAAATCGGTCTTGCACAATCGATCTCTTTCGCGGTGTCATAAATAAATCTGTTGCGCATCGCCCGAAACAAAAAAAAAGAAACTACGTTGAAGAAGAAGTTTGAATCCAGTCCCCCTACCAAAATGAAAGAAAAAAAGCAAGAAGGAAAAAAATGGCAGCTATTTAAAAAAAAGTGTCAAAAAAGACCTTTGTTTGGGGCGAGAAGCTTCTCAAATTTTTTTTGCGTAATGTTATCAAGTTGTTTGAGGTAGGGGGACTAGGTATTGCAGTGGTGAACAAATTAAAAAAAAAATGCAAGTCGACTTGTAGTTTTTTTTAATTTGTGGCACCGCATTGAAAAAAGTCAATTTGAGAAAAACGTATTTAAAGTTTTTAATATAATGTACTAAATACACCGTTTAATTTAATGTAGTAAATACACCATGGTGTTCAAAGATGCTGACACATCAAAAAGGTCATGTTCATGAGGTATTATAATGAAAAAGAGAGCAGCTGGCATACAATAGCTCGCGGAGCGATAAAAAAACGCTTTCAGAGGATCATACATATAGAGATAAATATATCTATAACTTCGTCAAAAAAATAGATATTGAGATGTTTTTTTTTTAAATAATTATAAGGTTTTTAGCTTTCATAATATCAAAAAATCTCAAAACCGAAACTAAGAAAAATAAAAAAAGAACAACCCCCTTAATAATAATCCGGACAAAGTACGTGTATCAATACAGAGTGGCATATTCAAAAGTGGAAGATATTAATTAAAATAAGCATATGCACGAAGAAAGAATTTTTTAGGCATTTTTGACAAGCTCAACAGGCTAAAATATTTTTACCAGCACTTACTAATTTCTATATGGTATTCTCCGATATGTCTACTTTGATAGCAGGTACTAAAATTAATACGTTTTCTTTAGAAATTCCAAAATATCTCTCTTATGCTTGTTCTTCGTGGTTAATATTAAGAAAATGTCTATCAATTTGCTGTGCGATCAGGCGTATTTTACATATGAACAAAACAATTTTTGATGATGCAGTTATCATAAAATTCATCCTTGTTCATATGTAAAATACGCCTGATCGCATGGCAAAATCAAACAAATACTTCAAACCTTCTACAATACGTGTAGTATACAATTTATTTTTCTCAAAAGTATAGATTGAAGTTGCAATGCAATGCCTTAAGGCAAATTGCTGGAACCTTCCGCACCGTAATGAAATATTCGAGAAATTTTAAACGTTATATATATATATCATATATATATATCATTACAAATACTGTAACTTTCATTATTTTTGCTATCTTGTTTGTTATATCTGAGCAACTCAAATGTAAATCATAAATCATAAATCAATTTATCAACAACCGTCTCATTTCATTTCGAATTCAATTCCAAAAAAAATAGTTGTCTAATTTACACAAAATTGAAAAAGTGCTCCCGTATAGTCACAGTCTAAACGCATTTGCAAATAATTCTGTGCGACATTTTCACTTATACTGTGCTTAGCTTGGCGGCATTTTCATATTTTTCAATAGTTTCATAAAATTGGAAAACTGCTCCAATACATAAACAGTCTAAACGCACTCGGGTAAACATTTGTACCCGAGTGGCGCTCAGACTGTGCTTAGCCTGGGTAATTTTTTGAATTTTTAATCCAAAATTACAAAAAATATTTTATGGAAAATAAAAAAAGTTGTAATAATTTTTTATCCTCAAAAGCAATTGTTTTGTCAATTTTGTCAATACGAGCAGAAAGTTTTTTAGTTCATTCAAATCGGACGCTTAGTTCACTCAAAAACTGCCATTTTTGCACATTTAGCTCCGTATCTTCGAAATGGTAGGACCTGCCTTTGCCAAAAACTAATCACCTCTTCTCCCAATCATTACAAATTGAATGTTTTTTAGATCATTCAAATCCGATACTCCGTTCTCTCAAAAACTCGATTTGTATTTTCTGCACTCTTGGTTCTGTATCTCTGTAACGGCTGGACCTGCCTTTGCCAAAAACTAATCAGCACATCTCCCTATCAATAGGGATCGAATAATTTTTAAACCATTCAAATCGGTTGATCCGTGCGCCCGAAAACGTGGACTAAAAATGACATATGACATAGCATGTGACATATCAAATGAAAGCTCAAAAAACGTACATTACGAATATAGTATTAGTTTCTTTTTTGCAAAAAATGTCAAAGCACTAAAAGGCAAAAATAAAGTTCACAATGACGATTTGGGAAAATGTATATAGTCAAATATTTATTATTATTATTACGTCGCCATACACCAATCAGTTGTACCAGAATCCAGTTTTGATGTTTTAGTGCATTTGCTACAATTTTATTTTCATCAGTTTCTGAAAATTACTTAAACTGATGATTATGTTTTGGGCAAAACGTTGGCATATTATCAACTTATGATGATTTAAAGAGTCACTGAAGTGTGTAATTAAAAAGTATTAAGTCGTACTTAATTTTAAATGTAAGTACCAAGGAATATTTAATTAAGACACCAAATTTTCCGAAAATAAACCAAGTTGGTAAAAAATTCCAAAACGTTGCAACTTTTACATTTTTTAAGATATTTTGATCAAAGGAAGTTTTATGCAAATTTTTACAATTCAGAAATAGTATTACAAACAAGTAACTCTTTTTATTATAAAAATGAGATAAATTCTGGTTGTCTACGTACCGAAAAACATAAAATCCTCAATAACTCTTTATTTTTAAATATATTGCAATTAAAGTTTGCGAAAGTTTTATGTATTTATTTCACTATTTTCGTTAAATTTGGTGTCCACAATAAATTAATTATAATTATCGATTCCACATAAAGTATATATTAATACTAATAATAATATAAAATTTAAAAAAATTGACGTATCGAACTGATAAACTAACCGTATATGTTAAAGTTAAGTTAACCAAGAGTTACCAAGTCAATCAATATATATTAATTAATTAATAAATGAATTATTAAAAATAATGTAAAATGTATAATAAATATAAATTGTAATTAGTTTTGTAAATTATTTTAATAATTATGAGTTTAATAAATTATTGACTTTGCAAAGTAACAAGAACGAAACAGCTACGAAACAAAAGTAAATGCAACAAAAATGTAACTTTAATGAAAATTTTTTATTCATAGAAATCTACTTTTATAAATAGAAAAAAAGTTATATTTTTGTAATCATTTTCAAAGACTATAGTCTTTGGTTTTTATTAAAATTTTTTTCGTTATATTTTTGTAATCATTTTCAAAGACTATAGTCTTTGTTTTTTATTAAAGTTTTGATTAAACAAAAACGAAACGGTTACGAAACACTTATGTAACAGTTACGCAACAAGAATGTAACTTCAGTGAAAATTTTTCTCACAATTAACATAAATGAATCTATTTGTTACTTTCGATCGGTTACGTAATTACTTGAAATTTTATTTGATTTTTTAAAGTCAGATATGAAATAAGTCTTTGCATCGTCAATAAATCAACATCACTTTATATATTTTTTGTAAGCATAGCCATGACAGTTTTTATAATTTTTCTACATGATGATAGTTTTGTCGACGTTGATACATATTTGTAATATTTTTGCAGCCCAATCGTCGACTTAAAAAAAACTCCTTCACTACACTTGCTTTGTAACCTTGATCAGTGTCCACAATGCACCGCTATCAATAACATAAAATATAGGAGGGCAATATGTGCTCCTTCAATTTCTCGTTCGTTAATATATTAGTATTTTATTATTTTACACAAATTTAGTGTTCAATCAATTTTACATCATAATTAATTTTTTCTGTTGTTTTTCCTGGTTTGGTATGTATAATTTTCTCCTTTTTATATATTTATATTTATTATCAACTTTGTATTTATGTTATATGTTTTTTAGATTACAGAATGATGACACACATCAAGTGTCGAAACGTTTAATGGAATAAATAATTTTGTTATTTAATCTTTTTTTAATTCGACGATTGGGCTGCAAAAATATTACAAATATATATATATATATATATATATACATATATATGTATATGTATAACTTACTTAAACGATTTTAATTGCCAGATCTGATAACAAAAATTATATGATTTTATATTTAATTTAATTAAGTCAAACATGTTTATTTATTTATATTAATTTTTATGTACTTATATTTATATATATATATATATATATATATATATTTAAATTCATAATAAACGTATCACCTTAAGTATTAACTTTATAAATTTATATTACCTAATTATTTTATTCTAATTTAATGAAGTTCGGATCTGTACATAATAAACCTATTTTAGTATTACTTTAATTTATTAAAATAATATATGTACTAGTTTATTAAAAAATAATAAATTAATACTTAGATAGTCAGAGGCAAATAATTTTATTATTGAAACTAATTTTATTTAATATCAATATAGTAATAAATAATTGTATAAGCCAAAGGAGTAAGTTATGGAGATTAAAATCGAGAAAAATGTAAAAAAAATAAAAAAAGATATCTATATGTATATATTATTAATATTCAAAAATTATAAAATAGATATACAGTTTTTTTGTTATATGTTATATATGCGCTATTGAATAAATATTCTGCTATAACAAATTAGTACATTTATTTATTGTATGGCTCGTAACTTTTGAACGGTTTGTCCAAAGTAAATGAAATATTTTGGAAATTTGTACAAAATTGAACAGTCTATAATATTGTTTAAGATTATGATGCCCTACGGCAACGCGGTATACTTTAAAATAAAATAATAGGTAGTACACTATTTGTATGTATTCGCAAGTGTATTTGTTTATAATATCTCTTGTAACTTTTGAACCGTTCGTCCAAAATAAATGAAATATTCTGAAAATTTGTTCAAAATTAAATTATCTATAATATTGTCTAATATTGTTATGACCTACAGCAACTCGGTGTACTCAAAAAGGGCGAAAGAATTGTTTTTTGAAATCGTCTTGATTAAGTGGCGACATCTATGTGGTGTGTATGCTAAGGTTTGAAAAAAAAATTCTAAAGTCTTAGATTAAACAAAAATAAATAGTTTAAGCCTTTAGATAACGTTTTGTTTACTACATGTTTTAATTAAAACATACTTGTATCAATATAAACAAAAAATACTTTTTTTTTTAAATCTCACCACATTTTAGCTTTGTAACATTATTACTGTTGCAGTTATAAATAAAACAATAATTGTATTATTATAAGCAGTTCTAAATTTACTTTTTAAAGTGAATTTAATTAATATACTTGATTTAAAAATTTAGTGAATATAAAAGATAATTATATCTTATAAAAACCTCGCGACTCTAACGACAGATGGCGACACTGATTGCAACCAGAATTTAAAAAATAATATAAAAGCCAATTTTTTATCTGTTTAAGTGTATAATACTTCAGTAAAATTCATATCAATATTATCATTATTACTATTATTATTGTTAACGTATAAAATTAAATTCAGTCAATATATTTTCTGTTTTAATAAGTATTAAAAATTGCATTCGTTGGTTTAAAATAAATTTTTGTAATTTATATTTACTGAATGATGACACGTATCAAGTGTCGAAACGTATAAGCAAGAAAGATGAAAGATAGTTTACCGTTTTCAAAACAATTCTTAGATTTTGACGACAAAGGTTACTATGGACAAATTTTTAAAAAATGATTTTTGACAGTTAAGATCATAGATAAAGGAGCATGGATAAGATTTTCTTTCAATTAGCGATAAAAAATAAATACCCTATTTTTCATATAGAAAGTTATAATTGATAATATTGTAATTTTATTTCTATAATTTGTTTATATTATTTGTATTGTTTTATAAATTTAAATTTTAACGGAAAATATGTCAAAAGTGGACTGTCAAGTGAATATCAAAATTATAAAAAAAGATTATAGAAAATGTATGTTTATTATAAAGTACTGTGATTGTTATTGAAGTTAATAGTGATTTATTTTTGTAGTTTTTTTTTCATATTAAACAGTATTATATCATTATTATTACATAACAAATTTAAATTCCAACGGTAAATTTGTGTCATTAAATGACTGATCAACTATCAAGTGAATAGCAAATTTGTAAAAATGTTAATTTAATACCAGTCTATGGTGAATGTATGTTTATTTTAAAATTTTGGGAGTGTTAATGTAATGTTATAATTAATATTAATTTGTTATTGTAATTTATTTCATAATAATCAAAATTATAAATTATAAATTTGAATTCTGACGCATACTTCATGTCATAAATCAACTGTCAAGTGTCAAGTGATACGTGGTAAAGTTTCAATGGAATATTATTACAAGAAAAATTCATGTATATTATCAATTCATTCATTAATGATGTAGTTATTATCAGTTTGTTATTGTAATTTAGTATTTATTGATTAAAATGGAGTGCATGTCATTCCGTTATGTGTCATGGAGTTCGAGCTGTCAACTTCTTCAAAAAGTTTAATTTAATTTAATGGTAAATGTATGTTTATTTTAAAGGTTCCGAATTGTTAATGTAATGTAATAATTAATATTGAATTGTTATTGCAATTTATTTCATAATAATCAAAATTATAAATTATAAATTTGAATTCTGACGCATACTTCATGTCATAAATCAACTGTCAAGTGTCAAGTGATACGCTAATTTTAAAGGGTAAAGTTTCAATGGAATATTATTACACGAAAAATGTATGTATATTATAAATTCATTCATTAATGATGTAGTTATTATCAGTTTGTTATTGTAATTTAGTATTTATTGATTAAAATGGAGTGCATGTCATTCCGTTAAGTGTCATGGAGTCCGAGCTGTCAACTTCTTCAAAAAATATGCTAATTTAATACCAATTGATGGAAATGTATGTTTATTTTAAAGGTTCCGAATTGTTAATGTAATGTAATAATTAATATTGAATTGTTATTGCAATTTATTTTATAATGTTCAAAAATTCAATATTGTTTTATAAATTTAAATTCTAACGCCTACTTCATGTCATAGATAAGCTTCATGTCATAAATCAACTGTCAAATTGTGTCAAGTGATATGTGAATTTTAGCTGGTAAAATATCAATAGATTGAGGACAAACGTATGTATATTATGAATTTTTCTATTATTATTGTAGTTATAATTAATTTGTTATTATAATTTACTGTTTATTGATTAAAATTGAGTTGACAACTATCTTCTGTCCTTCTGTCATCCGGTTATGTGTCATGGCTGTCAACATCTTGTATGTGTTTACATGTATCTATATTATTACCAAAGTTGTATTGAATTAGACTTTGCACCTTTTGTAAAACAAAGCGTCTCGTCTGTCTGGCTTCCTCATAAAGTGTCCAACATTGTGGAAGAAGCATGTCACAGTAATTTCTCTACAATATTTTGTTGAAATCCTTTCCCAAAATGCCTGTGCTGTTAAGAGTGAGTGCTCGTTTTTTAAAGCATACAGATGCTGTTAAATATACAACTCAGCATCGTTGTTTAAGTGCTTTTAGTAAAAACACAGATTTTTTACTACCTGTCAAAAATGTCAGTGTTTTTCAACGCGATTTAAGCAGTCAAGAAGTCACAAAGAATATTCAGTTGTTCAGTAATGATAAGGTGCAGATTGATAAGGATTTGAAGTTGGAACAGCCTTTGGAACGTCCTTTAGTGGTTTTACTAACATGGCTTATGGCTAAACAGAAACACATTATGAAATTTGCTGATATATACAACGACCATGGTTTTGATGTCTTGAACGTTTCCATAAACCCTTGGCAACTACTCTGGCCAGCGAAAGGTACACAATTGGTATCCCGAGACGTTTTAAAGTTCCTTTACCACAACACGACCTACAATCCTGTGTTGCTACATGGATTTTCAGTAGGAGGTTACGTGTGGGGCGAATGCTTAGTACACATATCTCAAAACCCTAAACTATACAACCCTTTGCTTCAGCGTATAGCCGGACAGATATGGGACAGTGCTGCGGATATAACTGAGATACCCATCGGTACCCCCAAGGCCGTATTCCCTAAAAACAAAGTACTACAAACAGCTTTACGCAAATACATGATTTACCATCTCAAAACCTTCCACGACGTTGCTACGTCCCATTACATTCGTGCAAGTCAAATGTTCCACAGCACTTTAGTACGATCCCCAGCTTTATTCCTTTTATCCAAGACGGACCCCATAGGGCCTGTTAGTTCTAATCAGCGAGTGAAAGAAGCTTGGGAAGGTTTGGGGATCAAGTGTTACTGGAAATGCTGGGACAGGTCTCCCCATGTTGGACACTTTCATAAACATCCCAAGGAGTACACGCAGGAATTGAATAGCTTTTTGGAGTCGATAGGATTGATTAATGAGGCGCAGAAGATGAGGGCTCAAATGCAGAATTGAAAAGGATCGAAGGAATGGATTGAGGGACAGTGATTGTGGTTTTCGAGCCTGTGATAATGTATGCTGGAAATTGTGAGGCTATTAGAAGGATTGTGAGTTTGAATCATTAGTTTGCTGAGGGACGATAAAAAGTAACTAAAAGTAATACATATATATATATATATATATATATATATATATATATATATATATACATCAATATTATTTATTTAAGAATCTAATAAATATGTAGATTTAGAATTTGTACTACAATTCCTGTGCAAAATTAACCCATTGTACTATTTATACCTCAGGAACTTGCCTTACGCATTTATTCATATAATCTTTAATATTAACAATGATCAAATTTTTTAAACTTTTTTTTAATTCAGCAAACTAATAATTAATATTCTTATCCGAATATAGTATTCTTTGTCTTAGCATATAGTGTTTTCAGAAAAATATTCATACCGTACATAAATATTTTTAAGAATTATACATTTTACTTTTTTATAATGCAAGTATTTAGAGCAGAAAACCTATATTAATGGACTGTGAAAAATATATATTAATATACATTATACACAATCACTTTTAATGACTTTATACATGGCAACCCAAATGGTTGTCCTATATCTATTTCTGTAAATGATTATTTTTTTTAAGTTATTTTCACTTAAAAATATTGCTATCTAAAATGCCAAGTAAAAATTGATGTCAATGCTGCTTGACATCAGGTTGTCCAAGGACCTGGGTTGTAAACCCACGGCTCTAACCACTTTTTCATGGGGAAACCTATAAAAATTTTCGTAAATGAATTCAAGTAAATGTGTAACTATTCATGATTTGATGTTAGTATATTTATATTGCTCATATTTAGGGAGCTCTCAGGGACGCACCGTTTGTACTACAGTCTTGTAATTTTTGTAAATTATTGTAAAAAGTGTATATTTTAACGACAAATACTAAAATTTGTTATTTTTTAAAAAATAAACGAGTTATAAGCGATTTTATGAAAGTTTGCACTCGATTGTAAGTGCAACTTGTTTATATGGTATATATTTAAGGAGCTCTTGGGGGCGCACCGTTTGTACTACGGACTTGCAATTTTTCTAAATTATTGTACAAAGTGTCTATTTTAACAACAAATATTAAAATTTACAAATTTTGTTAAAAAAATACAAGTTAGAAGTAATTTAAAAAAGAAATTCTTGACCCCAACACACGTTCATGCATACTATTGTTGATTTTTAGGGAGCTCTCAGGGTCGCACCGTTTGTACTACAGTCTTGCAATTTTACAATATTACTGTACAAAGTGTCTACTTTAACAACAAATACTAAAATTTACAAAATTTGTTGAAAAAATACAATTTAAAAGCAATTTTATAGAAAAATTCTAGACCCTAGCACAAGTACATGCATACTGTCGTTGATTTTTAGGGAGCTCTCAGGGACGCACCGTTTGTACTACAGTCTTGCAATTTTATCAATTTTTTGTACAAAGTGTCTATTTTAACGACAAATACTAAAATTTACAAATTTTGTTGAAAAAATATAAGTTAGAAGTAATTTTATCAAAAAATTCTAGACCTTAACACACGTACATGCATACTGGTGTTGATTTTTGAGGAGCTCCCAGGGACGCACCGTTTGTACTACAGTATTGCAATTTTAGCAAATATTTGTACAAAGTGTCTATTTTAACAACAAATACTAAAATTTACAAATTTAGTTGAAAAAATATAAGTTAGAAGTAATTTTATAGAAAAATTCTAGACCTTAACACGCGTACAAGCATACTGCTGTTGATTTTTAAGGAGCTCCCAGGAATGCACCGTTTGTACTACAATATTGTAATTTTTCTAAATTATTGTAACAAGTGTCTATTTTAACAACAAATACTAAAATTTATAACTTTTGTTGAAAAAATACAAGTTAGAAGCAATTTTATCAAAACATTCTAGACCATCACCCATGTTCATGCTTATTGGTGTTGATTTTTAGGGAGCTCTCAGGGACACACAGGTTGTACTACAGCCTTGTAATTTTACAATATTATTGTATGAACATTGTATTTTAACGACAAATACTAAAATCTATAACTTAAGTTGAAAAAATACAAGTTAGAAGCAAATTTATCAAAAAATTCTAGACCCCAACACACGTTCATGCATACTGTCGTTGATTTTTAGGGAGCTCTCAAGGACGCACCGTTTGTACTACTGTCTTGCAATTTTACAATATTACTGTACAAAGTATCTATTTAAACACCAAATACTAAAATTTATAACTTTTGTTGAAAAAATACAAGCTACAAGCAATTTTATCAAAAAATTCTAAACCTTAACACATGTTCATGCATACTTTGTTGATTTTTGAGGAGCTCTCAGGGACGCACCGTTTGTACTACAGTCTTGTAATTTTACAATTTTGTTGTACAAAGTGTCTATTTTAACAACAAATACTAAAATTTACTAATTTTGTTGAAAAAATACAAATTAGAAGCAATTTTATCAAAAAATTCTAGACCCCAACACACGTACATGCATACTGTTGTTGATTTTTAGGGAGCTCTCAGGGACGTACCGTTTGTACTACAGTCTTGTAATTAAAAAAAATATTTCTAAATATATCTTTTATTTTTTGCAGTCCAGTTAATATAGGTCTATAAAATTATATCATAGTTTAACATTCACTTAGTTCATGCAAATTTATGCAAAGAATTTTGTTGTGTATTTAATATGCAATAAACAAATTTATTCTTAAATGAATTGTTTTATTGAATAATTATTATTGTTTTGGTGTAGGTCAAAGATCTGGATTGATAATTAGTAAATGATTCATATATATTATATATATATATATATATATATATATATATATATATCTGACTCATTCCAATTACAATTTATAATAAGTGTAAATTATTTTGTTTGTTTCTTCTTAAATTTAAAATTGTTTTCAATAAACAGGTATGAGTCAAAGAACTATTTTAGAATTGAATTAAATATAAATTCTCTTTGAAAATTAACTTACAATACAAGTCTTGATCTAATGAATTATTTATTAGTAATTAATTAAATCTTGAGTCAAACCACAATTTGATTGATTTGTCTTTGTTCGTAGAACTCGATAAGAAATTTACAGTTATATATATATATATAGAATTTTATGATATGAGTGGAACGAATATTAATTGTTTAATATGAACAAAACAGCACTCAGATTTGTTTAACACAACTTTATTTTATGATTACAGACGTTTCGAGACCATGGTGTGTCTCATCTTCGGTGTAATTTCAAAAACAGTTACTTATATACTACACATTCTTTAATAATTTATTTAAATTTTATTTAATTTTTGGTATACAAAATATTGTTCATATTAAACAATTAATTGTTCATATTAAACAATTAATATATATATATATATATAATATATATATAAATATATATATATATATATATATATATATATATATATAATAAAAATTATATTTCTTACTAACAAACATACCTTGGCCGATGAGTGCTGCATTTCACAAATTTCATTGCTTGTTGATAACAATTTAATTTTTGATGAATCACTACTTCAATACACTCACTATATCACTACTTATTATTTAACATACATTCAATGATAACACAATAATAAGTTCAATAATTTACATATAGTTTTTTTGCCCAATAACACAGTATCGACAAAATTTTTTGCACAAATAACATGAGTTGACTGTTTTATAGTAATATACTATTTAGTAATAAATAAATAGTTAGTTAACTATTAAATACTAACTCTAATTGTTACTAAATGTCTAATTTATAATATAACATCTATTATTAAAATTATTAATAATGATTAGCTATTGCACAAACTTTGCACATTAAACTAAACTTAATCCACTTTACAACAATGTCACATCGTTTTATAACTATTAAAATCTGTATATACACCTCACAAATCGTTATTACATCTTTAATTTATAATATAACGTTAATTATTAAAATTTTCAAAGAAATAAATTTGCAAATTTCACATAACCTCACATTTAGTGCAAAAGAATTTCGCACGTGTGAAAATTTTTAACCCTAAGTTTGACAAATGGTGTTACCCCATGTTGACAGTTTTAAAATGGCGCGCAATTTGAATTTGAATTTATATAAATACATAATAGTTTCATAGTTTAATAAAATATAAAAGTATATATATATATATATATATATATATATATACATATACATATTTATGAATTGTGAAGAATTTAAATTAGTTTATACTAAGATTTTATGATCAAATAATCTTGTATTGAAGATTTTATTATTAAATACGTTCGTAATGTAAAATGTTGGTCAAAAATATTTTGTTATGAATTTTGGACATGGATTTCATAATCAAATACGATTTTAATACTTTTGCAAAGGATTTTGAGCAAGTACTTACTTGTCAGATTTTTGATAAAGATTTTTCTTCAACCAATTAGCATAGATTTTTGATTAAGTGCTTAATTTTTTGATTTTGGACCAGGTTCTGGGGTCAAATACTTTTTTTAATTTTTGAATAAATATTTTCAGATCAAGTACTCCTTTTTAGACATAAATTTCGTATCATTTATATTTCAAAGAACGACAAATCCAATAAATAATCTTTTTTCCTTCGAATAGAACACCATTGTCTATCTGTAAAGAAAATTCAATTTGAATTATTTATATAAATTATTTTACAAAATTAAATGGCCAAAATATTTGGTTTAATTGTTTTGAAACAAATATTATTCTACTTTGCATAAAATAAATTATTATTCTTAATTATTAAAACAAAAGACTTGAAATTGCATACTGAATTTACATGTTTTATCAACAAAATAATAATTGTTTATATAAATATATATATATATATATATATATATATAGACGTTGTATTTTCGTGTAAAATATTTCTAGAAAATTTCTAGATTAGCAAAAAATATTATTTATTATTAACTTCCCGTAGGGTAGTTATAGTAATGGGCCGTCAATTGAAAATGAAAATTTTTGCATTCCTCGACGTTTTGAAAGTTTCTGAACATTTTACTGGCATACCCCAAAAAAATTGATGTGTGTGTGTTTTGTATGCCGGCATTTTTTCGTCGACGTTTTCGGGCGCAAGGATCAACCGATTTGAATGTTTCAAAAAACATTCGATTCCTATTGATAGGGAAAAGAGCTGATTAGTTTTTGGCAAAGGCAGGTCCAGTCGTTACGGAGATACGGAGAAAAAAGTGCAGAAAATACAAATCGAGTTTTTGAGAGAACGGAGTATCGGATTTGTATGATCTTTCAAAACATTCAATTTGTAATGATTGGGAGAACAGATGATTAGTTTTTGGCAAAGACAGGTCCAGCTGTTTTGGAGATACAGAGCTAAATGTGCAAAAAACTGGCAGTTTTTGAGTGAACTAAGCGTCCGATTTAAATGATTCAAAGAACTTTCTGCTTGTTTCGACAAAATAATTGCTTTCAGAAAAAAAAAATTTTGTTTCTAATTTTTATTTCAAAAAATATTTTTGTAATTTTGGATTAAAAATTCAAAAAATTATCCAGACTAAGCACAGTCTAAGCGCCACTCTGGTGCAAATGTTCACCCTAGTGCGTTTAGACTGTTTATATACTGTAGCACTTTTTCAATTTTGTGAAAACTATTGAAAAATGTGAAAATGCCGCCAAGCTAAGCACAGTATAAGTGAAAATGTCGCACAGAATTATTTGCAAATGCGTTTAGACTGTGACTATACGGGAGCACTTTTTCAATTTCGTGCAAAATTAGGCAACTATTTTTTGTTAAACTGAATTCGAAATGAAATGACGATTGTTAATGTTCTGGAGATAAATTGATTTATGATTTACATTTGACAACAAGATAGCAAAAATAGTGAAAGTTGCAGCATTTGTAATAATATATTTGAAAACGTTTAAAATTTCTCGAATATTTCATTACGGTGCGGGAAGTACCAGCAATTTGCCTTAAGGCGCGATGCCATACACCACTAGTTATTTACCCGTTTAACAAAAATAATATTTACAATCGACTTGTTATAAATTAAATATTATACAATTCCTTCCTATCGATTTACCATTGACGACCTTCGTTCATTTTAGAAAACCTGTTTCAGTTCCAAGGAGCGAGCGAGATAGCGCTATGGCATGCGCGTGAGTGCGAACGAGAGAAAAGATATAATTATTCCCTATGATAGTTTAAAAGTAGTTGGAGACATAAATTATTTATGATGATTTTTGAATAAAATATTCATATATACGAAATTATATCGTTTTTAAAAATAATATGTACGTGATATGTAAAAGTCATTGAAATAAAACGATATGAATGGATGAATTGTAAAAAACAATGAAATGGTAAAATAGTCTTTGTTAACAATAATTAACTTCCCGTAAGGCAAGTTATAGTAATCGCAAAAGAATCGAAAATGAAAATTTGTATATATCTTTACGTTTCAGAGGTTTCTCAATAATTTGGCATACCTTGGAAAAAATGGATGTATGTGTATGTGTGTGTGTGCGCGTATGTATGTATGTGCGGATACAAATTTTCGTCGACGATTTCGGGAACACCGATCAACCGATTTGAATAATTCAAAGAATATTCGATTCGTATTGATAGGGAGACGTGCTGATTAGTTTTTGGTGAAGGCAGGTTCACCGTTCCGAAGATATGGGGCAAAAAGTGCCAAAAACGGTAACTCAGTTTTTAAGAGAATGGAGCGTCCGATTTGAACAATTCAGAAAATATTTTACTTGTATTGACAAGATGAAGAATTGATCAAATTTTCATGAAGGCAGGTCTAGCGGTTTCGGAGATCTAATAAAAAAAGTTTAAAAAAATGCCAACTGGCGGTCAAAAATGATCATGAGACATATGCACATCAAATTATCAGATATTTTATAGAGATTTTAACAATAAGTATAAATTTTGTTTACATTCCTATGGGTTCCGTACCAATGTTTACGCGCTAGACGGCGACGCGGCGCTTACGCGCTTCGATATTTCGTCTTTATACAGTTAAAGCAGTACGATTGCTTTGAAAAAAAGTTCAGAATTTCCAAATTATTTCAAAATAAATGATTTAAGATAGAATGATTCAATATGGTTCGAAATTTCAAATCATTGATCAACTTTTATTGATTATTTTTGATTACTCAAATTTTGAATTGCGGTACGAGAAGTTCCAGCAATTTGCCTTAGGCACGATGCCTTAATTGCCTTAAGACAGAATTCCACTTACAGCTAATTCTTTAATTTGCTCATATAGTCACAATCACAAATCACTTGTTTTAGTCTTTGGACTTTTTTTACTTTTGGACTTAAATCATGGCACAAACTAAAATTTAGACTAAAACTTATTATGTCTTTTCTATCTAATTTCATTGATATAATAATCATATTTAAAATAGAAAACTTTTGTGCTCTATTTCTTTTACACTCTCCCAGTGTTCAAACCACTGATCCACCGCAACCCTACACACTTACAATACGATAGTAATTTTTTGTCGATTCTAAGAAATCTTCAAAAGTACGTCACATAGTAAAGTAACGTTTAACGGGTCAGCTAGTATATACATATATTATATAAACAATTACAAAACAGATATGTGTATAACCGATAGCCATAATTATTATTTCCCATTTAACGATAACAAAATCGCCATTAGAATTAATTGCAAAATAAACAAATGTAAAATAATCTCAAGTGCAAATTGACCTTTGTACAGACTAATAAATATTTGTGTCCGATGTCGACATTGTTTCAAATCGAATTATCATAACATTAAATATTAATTCGAGTGGTGCGATATGTGATTCACGTTAGTCATAATAAAAATAACTAGGTGCAAGTGGCACCGAACAGAATATTTCACACTCTTTTGCTGATTTAATGGTTTAGTATGTTCATTAAGACTAAGTACACTATCTAATTGTAATTTTAACAAACGTCAAAAAAACTACTCATTTTCTCAAACTTTGATGAATTTTAAAAATTAAACTACTTGTAAAACCGTAATATTTCAGTAAGTTCTATAAGACCATGATATATATCGCCAAAACAAGTTCCATAAAAATCGGCTTAATTTTTTTTTTTCAACAGTTAATTACAAGAAAACGGCTCGGTAGATTTGCACCTAAAACTAATCAGTATTATTCCCAACTAATATCTTTCGAACAGTTTTTGATTTTTTAAAATCGATTCGGTAGTTTGAGGTTAAATGTGGACGAAAAGTTTAACACGTTTTTCCAAATTACAAAGAAACGGCTCGGCCGATCGTCGCGCAAAACTGACCAACGATAGTCCTTATTGAGATACATCAAATGGCTTTTAAATTTCTGAACTGTGTTCAGGCGTTTTTAAAATAACGTTGATGAAATGTTAAAAATTCTCACACTTAATTTTTCCCTAAATTTGGTCTCATTCGGTTCAGAATGGCTTGAAACGTCCAGGAGAAAACATAAAATTAGCGAATCGAATTTTTTTATGAAAACATAAATTTCTCCTTCGGGAAGTATTACCTATTTTATAAATATTGCATAATTTTTTTATAGATAAAAATAAAAATTAAAAATTCATTTAAGTTGATTGCGATAGATGAAATGTTTTTCTTTTAACAGCTTATGCACACATAAAATTTAGTTTTAATCATAAAACGGCGGATTTCGATCTCCATGTGCTAAATATTTGTAAATCTAACATATATTTTGTAGTATTAGTAAAACAATGAAAATGGCAAAAAATATTTTTTAGAATTTAAAAAAAAAAGTTTTTTATTGATGCTATGCTTGATTATTAGACATTGTTAGTATATATATATATATATATATATATATATATATATATATATATATATATATATATATAAACCATTCATTACTAAACCAGTTAGTCCATTAATCAATAAGTTATATAAAAATCTATTTTTAAATATAATCCTTTTACTAACAGCTTATATAAATCTTGGTTAAGAAGCCATATAAAATATATAAAACCATAAACTTTTTTGGAAAGTTAATAATAATAAATTTTGTACAATTTTTCAAAAATAGTAAGCCTTTGAATAAAACAAAAATAAATAGCATTTGTAATATGTATTTATATTAATAAACAATTACATACAATACACTGGTTATGAGTAACAAACAGAGTTGTAACTAAAATATATATTAAATAAATTGCAATTTATATCCTGTATCAATATAAGTTGAGTGATTGATAAGGATTATAAGGTGGTACAGTTTCTAGACTTATTCAACTAATTTGTTGTCTGTTTTTTTACAGTTTGTTTCCTAGTATGTTTTTTTTCATGTAGCCTTAATATATCTTTCGTCTTGAATGTTTTATTGCATGTCTCACATTCATGAGGTCGTTCTTCACTATGCACTGATAAATGCTTTCTTAAATGACTTTTCAGTGCAAATCTTTTATTGCATATTTCACACTCATGAGGTCGTTCTCCAGTATGAACTAATAAATGTACTTTTAAATCACTTAACCTTAAAAATGTTTTATTACACAAGTTGCACTCATAAGAGCGTTCTCCAGAATGGGTCGCTTTATGTCTTTTTAACATGTTTTTCATTCTGAACGTTTTATTACATATTTCACATGCGTAAGGACGTTCACCAGTATGCACTGATAAATGTGTGCTTAAACTACTTGCCTGTGTAAATGTTTGATTGCATATATCACACTCATAAGGCCGTTCTCCAGTGTGGATCACTTTATGTTTAATTAAGTGTGGTTTTGTTTTGAATTTTTTATTGCATATATCACACTCATAAGCGCGTTCTCCGGTATGCACTAACATATGTCTTCTTAAATCCCTTGACCCTAAAAATGTTTTTTCGCATATTACGCACTCATGAGGGCGTACTCCAGTATGAACCACTTTATGTTCATTTAAGTTTTTTTTCAATCTGAATTTTTCATTACATATTTCACAAATATGAGGACGCTCACCAGTATGAATCAATGAATGCTGTCTTAAACTACTTGACCGTGAAAATCTTTTACTGCATATGTTGCACTCATGAGGCCGTTCTCCATTATGATTCGTTTCATGCCGGATTAAGCTTCGTTTTGCTGAGAATGTTTTATTGCATAATTCACATTTATAGGGTTTCAAGTTATCAGTACTTTCACCTTTTCCAGAAACTTCTTCAAATGATTTGTTCGTGCTATCCACTAAACTACTTGAATTACTGATCTCTTCGTCACATATGTAAGAATTTTCATCTGAAACTATTTTGTTTGTACTAGTCACATCATCTTGGTCATCAATTGTCTCTTGTTTTATTTCCTCGTCAATTGTAACCTCAGATTTAAGAAATTGCTGCAGACATATATCCGTACGCAAATTTGATGTATTTTCGCAATCATCAAATTCCTGTTTCACTTGAGGATAATCATTGTAATCATCTATCGGTTCAATTTTAATTGTTGTGTTTGAATTTGTTTCTTCAGACATGTTTGAGGTTAGTTTGGTTACAATAGGCTAACTGGTGATGAGTTCTTAAAAATTAAGAAGTCTAAGTGTATAAAAATATATATGTTACGATTTTCACTATTTTGTTTAATATGATTTAACACTAACACTGACCTTTTTACTAAATTTATCTTCGAATTTAACTTTAATAATTCCATAAACCACTTTGACATTTCTCCTCCATTTTGTTTTATAAGCAACAGATCAAATTGAAGTTAACAACAATACAGCTGCGAGTTTTTCGGCGGCAAAATTTGAAATTCGAAATTATTATTAGTTTCACCAAAAAACATAAAATCTGAACATACAAAAGTTTTTGAGGGGGAACAAATAAATATATATATACTAGCAAACCGGGCGAACCCCGTTTCACCACCAGATGGTGGCATTTTATGTAACATTTCGTTTGGTGATTAAAAGATGAAAAAAATTGCCTGTGGTTGAAATTGAAAAAAAAATTGCATAATACACGTGATTGATTTAATGGTTTCCAATTGAAATGTTAGGAAACGAATAACTTATTTTTTTAGTTTTTTGCACAATTTCACAGTGAACACAATGCCGGTTTGTCACATGAAATTAACTGAGCAGAGAACAATGAGTAGCAGTCAATTAGTTTGTAGTACATGCTAAGTATCAAAAATGACGCTGTATGTGAAAGAAGAAAAAGTGTTTTTCGCTTTTCTGTTGAAATCTTTCGTCAATTTTCTTTGCTAAAAACCTGATAGAGTCCGAGACGAATGCAAAATCGTCGAAATCGGTTCGTGCGTTCTGGAGTTATATCGTCAGGAAGGAAAAACCCGATTTATTTTTATATAATAGAATATCTTTATTAGGAAACCATATAAAATATGTATGAGCTATATAAATATGAGTTAATACAATTCAATTACTAAATAAAATTTATATATGTATATTCAGGTCATCCATTGTACATTGAGTAAACATAAAATTAATGATTTGCATTTTCTGGTGAAAACCATAAACTTCTTTGGGAAGTTAATAATAATAAATACTGTAGAATTTGAGATAAAATAGTAGGGCTTTGAATGAAACAAAAATAAATAGCATTTGTAATATGTATTGATATTATTAAACAATTACATACAATACACAGGTTAGGAGTAGCAAAGTTGTGGTTGAAATATATATTAAATAAAGTGCTATATCAATATAAGTCGAGTAATTGATTAGGATCATAAAGACGGGCAGTTTCTAAACATTGTTTAATTACAGTTTGTTCTCAAGTATATCCTCTTTCATTTCACATTAATATATGTTTTGTTTTGAATCTTTTATTGAATCACATTCATAAGAACTTTCTACAGTATGCTCTGATAAATGCTTTCTTAAGTTATTTATCAGTGCAAATCTTTTATTGCATATTTTACACTCAAAAACGTGTTCCCTAGAATGGATCAATTTATGTTCATTTAAACCTGTTTTCAATCTGAATGTTTTATTACATATTTCGCATTCGTAAGGTCGTTCTTCAGTATGCACTGATAAATGCTGTCTTAAACTAATTGATCGTAAGAATCTTTTTTTGCATATTTTGCACTCATAAGGCTGTTCTCCAGTGTGGATCACTTTATGTCTATTTAAGTTTTCTTTTGTTTTGAATTTTCTATTGCATATTTCACAAATATACGGGCATTCTTCAGTATGAACTGATAAATGTTTTCTTAAATTACCTGACCATAAAAATCTTTTATTGCATATTGCGCACTCATGAGGGCGTTTCCCAGTGTGAATCATTTCATGTTGTTGTAAGCTTTTCTTTGATGTGAATGCTTTATTGCATGATTCACATTTATACGGTTTGTAAGTGCGTTCTGCAGTATGCACTAACATATGTCTTCTTAAATCACTTGACCCTAAAAATGTTTTTTTGCATATTGCGCACTCATGAGGACGTTCACCAGTATGGATCAATGAATGCTGCCTTAAACTACTTGACTGTGAAAATCTTCTATAGCATATTTTGCACTCATAAGGCCGTTCTCCGGTGTGAACCAATTTATGCTGATTTAAGTTTGACTTTTTATTGAACTTTTTGTTGCATGTTTCACAGATATACGCGCATTCTTCAGTATGCACTGATAAATGCGAACTTAAATGACCTGACTGTAAAAATCTTTTATTACATATTTTGCACTCATAAGGGCGTTCCCCAGTATGGATCCTTTCATGTTGTTTTAAGTTATGTTTTGTTCTGAATGTTTTATTGCATGATTCACATGTATACGGTTTCAATTTATTGGTTGTTTCACTTTTTCCTGAAACTTCTTCAATTGATTTGTTCGTACTATCCACTAGATTACTTGATTCACTGATCTCTTCACCACATATATAAGAACTTTCATCTAATACAGTTTTGTTTGTACTAGTCACATCATATTGATCATCAATCGTCTCTTGTTTTATTTCCCCGTCAATTGTAACCTCAGATTTTAGAAATTGCTGCCGACATATATCATCATCCATATACAAATCTGATGTATTTTCACAATCATCAAATTCCTGTTTCACTTGAAGATAATCATCGATCGGTTCGGTTTTAATTGTTTTGTTTAAAATTGTTTCTTCATACATGTTTGAAGTTTATAGGTTATAATAAACAAACTGGTGATGTGTTCTTAAAAATTGAGAAGTCTGAGTGTATAATAATATATGTGTTACAATATTTATTAATTAGTTTATTGTTTAATATGATTAAACGCTAACACTGACCTTTTTACTAAATTTATCTTCGAATTTAACTTTAATAATTCCTCAAACCACTTTGACATTTTTCCTCCATATTTGTTTTATAAACACGTGATCAGGTTGGACAACATTAAGCACATTACAAATGCGAGTTTGTCGGCGGCAAAATTTGAAATCCGAAATTATTATTAGTTTCAACACCAAAACGTAAAATCTAAAGATACAAAACTTTTTGAGAGGGAACAAATAAATATATATATATATATTATATATATATATATATCTCTTCATTAAGAAACTATATAAAATATGTATGAACTCTATAAATATGAGTTAATACAATTATTAACTGTTTATTATTAAATGTTAAACTGCTGAGTAATTAACAATAATTTATTGTTTAACAAATAGTTTATACCGCGTAAAATTACTTAATATTCCGTAATAATGCAATTGATACAATCATACCGGTATTTTCGGGATGTATAACACATCTTGTCGATGTCGGCAAGATAAAGCGATTGTTTATATATATAATATACAATATATTTTATATGACCTAATAAAGGGAACCCATTTATAAAAATTATTAGTGATAATTGACAATAATGATTTTTAAACAAAACATACAAACGACACGTTATAATTCTCTATATTGTATATCTTCCTATCACTCGTTCTTATTTATAATTTTATTTTAACGAAAATTTACAAGTCGATGGATATATAGATTGATAATCAATGATAATATTGGTCTCTGTGGAGGATGACTTCTTTCTTATGCGTACATTGCAGATTTTTAAAAATCGCTCAGATAGAATTATTTTATTTAGACAATCAGAAAATACAATAATCTTCTATGTATATAAAAATAAGTCGGGTTTTCCTTCCTGACGAAATAACTCCAGAACGCACGAACCGATTTCGACAATTTTGCATTCGTTGAAAAGGTCTCGGGCTCCGCAAGGTTTATAGCTAAGAAAATTAGTTGTGCATGGCATCGTGCCTTAATGCAAGCTGCTGGAACTTTACGCACCGTAATTAAAAATTCGAGTAATGACATTAGTGAGAATTACCAGAATTATGTTTGGTTCAGTCAACGAGCAATTCTTGCCGCAAAGAATAATGATGTACACGCACTGAATTTCACCATTCAATAAAAAATTGCTGGCGATTTGGTGACATACCAATGATTCCGACTGGTCTTCCGTTTGACTTCAAACGATTGCAATTTCCAGTTCGCAATAACAAGTCAAAAAGCCAATCGCTTAGTGTTTGCGGGATAAATTTCAAATAGATTATTTAGAAAATCATTGTTTTTCGCATGGGCAGTTATACGTTGCCTGTTCACGAGTTGAAAAACCATCCGCTTTGTTTGTGTTAACGTCAGACCAAAAAACAAAAAATGTGGTTTACCAAAGAGCACTTCAATGAAACGGATAATTTGCGGATTCACTTTCATTTACTTAGAGAAGTTCAACTAAAAAACACTTGATTTTTCTAATCGAAATAAATTCATTACTGTTGTATAATAGAATCAAATTTTTCCTTTTCAAATATAAAACAAACAAAAAAATTCGTCATCTTTCTCACGAAACCATCTGGTGGCGAAACGGAGTTCGTCGGGTTTGTTAGTAAATTATAAGTATTAGTGATGTGTTTCATGATGTGTGATGTGATGTGAATGCCGATTATTTCTATAAATAAATTCTATGCCGCAAAATTTTGGTCTATGATGATCTTATAAGTCTAATTTATAGAATAGAACAGTTTTAGCTCGTTCACTTTCCTACTTTTTTACAAATCATCTTTAAAATCAAACGTTCCTTAACATCCCATAATATGGTACATTTACCTTAATATAAAGTTTTATATCAATGTTATGTTAGATTGCATACTAAACTTATTACTAATTTTAATATGAGATCTGTTGATTCTTCACTCGCGGCTTTTTTATGGAACGTCAGGTTATCCATTGTCCATTGAGTAAGCATAAAATTAACGAATTGGATTTTCTGGTGAAAATCATAAACTTCTATCAGAACTTAATAATAATGAATATTTTAGACAGTAAGGCTTTGAATGAAACAAAAATAAACAGCATTTGTACTATGTATTGATATTATTAAATAATTACATACAAACAGAGTTGTGATTGAAATATATATTAAACAAAGTGCAATTAATATGCTGTATCAGTATATGTAAGTTTGATTGATTGATAAGAATTATAAGGCCGGACAGTTTCTAGGCTGATTCAAAAGTTTTATTGACTATTTTTTTACAGTTTGTTCTCTAGTATGTCCTCTTTCATGTCGCATTAATGCAGGTTTTGTTTTGAATGTTTTATTGCATGTCTCACAATCATAAATGCGTTCTTCAGTATGCAATAATGTCTTCTTAAATCACTGGACCTTAAAAATGTTTTTTTGCATATTACGCACTCATGAGAGCGTTCTCCACTATGGATCAATTTATGTTTATTTAAGTTTCTTTTCAATCTGAATTTTTCATTACATATTTCACATGCGTGAGGACGTTCATCAGTATGAACTGATAAATGTCTTCTTAAACTACTTGACCGTGAAAATCTTTTATTGCATATTGTACACTCAAAAGGCCGTTCTCCAGTGTGAACCACTTCATGTTCAATTAAGTGTGAATTATTTTTGAATTTTTATTGCATATTTTGCACTCATAAGGCCGTTTACCAGTGTGAATCATTGCATGTTGTTGTAAGCTTTTTTTGATGTGAATGTTTTATTGCAAGATTCACATTTATACGGTTTGTAAGTGTGTTCTGCAGTATGCACTAACATATGTCTTCTTAAATCACTTGACCCTAAAAATGTTTTTTTGCATATTGCGCACTCATGAGGAGTTCACCAGTATGGATCAATGAATGCTGCCTTAAACTACTTGACTGTGAAAATCTTCTATAGCATATTTTGCACTCATAAGGCTGTTCTCCGGTGTGTACCAACTTATGCTGATTTAAGTTTGACTTTTTATTGAACTTTTTATTGCATAATTCACAAATATGAGGACGTTCACCAGTATGAATAAATGAATGCTGTCTTAAACTACTTAAACGTGAAAATCTTTTATGCATATTTTACACTCATGAGGGCGTTCCCCAGAGTGTATAATTTTATGTCGGTTTAAGGTATGTTTTGTTGCAAATGTTTTGCTGCATATTTCGCACACATAAGGACGTTCTCCAATATGAACTGATAAATGTCTTTTTAAATAATTTAACTGTGAAAGTGTTTTATACATATTTTGCACTCATAAGAGCGTTCTCCAGAATGAACTGCTTCATGTCTTTTTAACATGCTTTTTATTCTGAACGTTTTATTACATATTTCACATGCGTAAGGACGCTCACCAGAATGCAATGTTAAATGGTTTCTTAAAGTACTTGAATGTGAAAATCTTTGATTGCATATTTTGCACTCATAAGCACGCTCTTCATTATGCATTAATATATGTTTTCTTAAATCACTTAACCCTAAAAATGTTTTTTTTTGCATATTGCGCACTCAATGATGGCGTACTCCAGTATGTACTATTTTTATGTTCATTTAATCTTTTTTTCATTCTGAATGTTTT